GAGCATATGTCTATAGGACTTTTTTTCTTAGTTTTTTACTCCTCTACACGCTCCCGAAGTTTTGCCATTTAATTTGGAAACACCCTGTATAATGACAATAAACATACATTGCTTGGTCAATTTGAATATGTAAAAGTTCCAATACATCCAGAAGTGCGACATGACCACTGTTAAATAATATTGTAGCAACAATGGCGGCAATTTGAAGGTACCGCTGAACAATGACTTAGGTGTGATTTTCCAAATAACTTGATTGAAGCTTTCATTGTTATTTTCATCACAATTGAATAAATTTTTCCTCCTCTCGACACTCTGACAAACGGTCCCTCATGCAATTCGGAGAAGATCGAGTTGGCGCGTCGCTTATACCTGCGCTCTCGTGCTCCACCGGGCTTCGTCATACAAAAACTGCTCTACGAAAACTGCTGTATCTCTGTCAATTTTCCGAATATCTCTTTAAAACTTGGCATATGAATTCCCGATACGTATATCTTTCAAAATATTACAAAATTAAAAAATTGATTTTTTTTTTTAGATTTTACCCTGTCTATAGCCCTTAAAGGTGTCTTTTTGTCATGAAATGGAAGCTTTTGAACTGAGAGGCCAATTAGAAAAAATATTTTTTTCTTGTCAGTCTAATATATATGTGCGTGCAGGTTTTTATTTGTTCGATAATTTTTAGTAATCATTATAAAAAAAGTTAGTTTTACTATTTATATAAGGTAGGGAAAAAATATAAAAACCTTGAAAAATCTCGAAAAATATAAGTTTCACCGAAAAGAGCATTTCGGATAAAAATTGTAGAATTTAGATAGACCTATTTATTAGCTTTATCAATTTGACCATCCATGCCGTCGCTAAAGTCAGGTCAAGGTCACCTTGAATTTTTTAAGTGAAACCTTCTATTATTTATTGTATTATTTTATAGCTTATTTTGAGAACTTTTCAACTGATGGTTAACACTTTTTAAATGTTATTCAAGATCATGATAACATTTTTCAAAATCAGGACTTTTGAAGGTTATTCCTTTTATTATCATGTATATATATACGTACACTAAAAATGAAAATAGGAAGCACAATCTTCAAAGGACAACCTAATACGATCAGTAAATAGATCTTTTTAAACGTTACAACTTTTACCTGAAATACTTTTCTGTAAAACTAACATTTTTCAAGATTTTTTAGGGTTTCCGTACTTGTTCTCCACCCTGTATGCATACTGATTGATTATCTATAAATTAAGACACTGACATTTCTCACTTTACAATTCAATACAGCTGAAAACCACAAGTATATAATATAGAAAACTATATGAATGTATAAAAGAATTATTTAACCCACATCTAAATTGTCCTCAATATCTTGGAAATAAATCGCTAAAATCGCTGAAAATTGTTAAGATCTATATCAGTTGATCTGATTTAATATACAATATTTTAAACAAAATATATAAATTTCAGAGAACTGTAATTTTATATTGGACTCTTGGTGCTGCTTGCAACATTTCCGTGTTATTTGGTCTTTACAAACGACAAATATCCGTTCTGCTTAGTGCTATCTATGTCGCATTAAATAGAACAGTTTGGGCCATAGGCATAGCATGGATTGTAATAATGTGTTATACTGAGCATGGAGGTTAGATGATTTAATAATAGTGTTAAATAGATAAAGAATAATCATAATATTCGGACTCAGGATCTTTTTAAAAATAAAAATTTCCAGAAAGGAAAAGCTATCAGTCGAAGTTAGTTGTTACGTGCTAATGATTATTCTATCTTTAATATATATATATATATATTTATCAGTAGATATAAATATTAAATCATACAAACGTTTCAACCTTCATCAGGTCATCCTCAGTGTAAAACAATAATAATTAATCTAATTGAAAATAAAAATAAAAATAAGTATAAAGGGGTCGCAACATAAATCGGTTACATAATGAATAATTTAAATATAAAACATTTATGATGTCATTAATATTAAAAGTATTTCTAAATTCGTATTCTCTTTCGATGGCAGGATTAAAAATATATCCAATGAGGTTGCATGATTAAAATTATGATTAAGATAGACTGATTATTACTTGTTGTTTTAAAAATAGACGTTACATTTATGTGAGCATTGTAAATTTTTCAGCATAAATTGTCGATGGTAATAGAACTTATCCCTCACTGCAATCATTTGAAAAAACATATCACAAAATCTAAAAAACATATAAAAAACACTTATAATAATAAATCATAACAGAGCAATGTTAGAAATTAGAAGAAAAATTTTGTTCTTATTTATATCCATATATATATATATATATAAACGCTTGACTTTATTACAGGCATTGTTAAGAAGTTGTTAACATTCAAAGTCTGGATTCCTTTTAGTAGACTTACATACTGCGCTTACCTTTTAAATCCTTTTATCATAAATTCTCTTCGTTTGCATGAAATATCTACTCATTTAGAAATTCTGTCCATGGTAAGTACACGAACAATCAGAACTTCAACCTCGACAAAATAAATATACTTATTGTCACAATTTTCATTTTTAGAGCACTATGACCATAGGATACATTGGGATTATTTATTTCTGTGCCTATGCATTATTTTTAATGGCAGAATCACCGTATATCTTATTAATGCGAATGTTCACCCAATCTCGTAATAGGAAAAAAATGTAAGGAACACGAGATTTTGCATACATGATTGCGATGGAAATATTGTAATAATTATAATTAAAATTGAATAGAGCTTATAAATAAACTAGGTACAATTTGCATGAATTATGTGGGAGAAATGACAAGATCTATTATAAAATAAGCATAAATTTAATTAATTTAATGATTTTTTTTTTAAATCAACTATTGCGTAGAATTAATTTTAGTTTTAAAGAATTATAATTATGGCTTATATTTGTTATATTTGGTGGTTACAAAGAAATAGATTATTATCGTAATCACGAAAAATTTAGACTTCTTATTGGATTAATCATCAATTTTTTATAATCTATGTGGTCGCAATGAGCCGAGAGATAAAATTAATTTTTATAAGTCATGTTTCAGATTTGTTTTTACCGTTGTTGAATCCAAGTTAAATCTTTTATAGTCTTCTGATTTCATCGAATAAAATAGTGTTATTATTTTATTCCTGCTTTTTATGCCCAGTGTTCGATTTAATAATTTAATTAGATTTAGATTGATTAGAGAATGTGTAGCGATATGTGATGAAAATAAATGTAATTTGTATCTTCGAAAAAAAAACTAATGTACGAAATTAAAAATTAAAACCTATATAGAGGAAAGTGGGTGAATTGTGCACACCTAAGGGAAATTTATTGTCCTGGAATGGTTTTCCAAGTTCAAAGCGATATAAGTATGGAAATAGAAACTATAAACATTTTTCTACCATTACGTATCCTCATATTGAACAGATTTTCATTGAATAAGGTTGTATTTAGCAAAAAGGAAAAAACGGAAAAACGAAAAAATTTCTCTCGCGTCGGGTAATTGTGCGCATGGGTTGGATAATTGTGCGGAAAGCAAAAATCGTAGGAAATGAATGAATTATGGAATATGTTGACAAAGAAATCAGAAAATATATATATAATATTGCAATATAAATATATATTAAATATATGTTATATATATTAAGCAAAAATACAAAACTAATATAATAATAATGCACATAGACTTTGTCAAAATAAAATAACAATGCAAAGGAAAAACGAAAAAATTAGTGCTAGTCACATAGTCCATGAAAGATGGATAATTGTGCGCATTTCAAAACGCTTGCCCGCCGCGATCTAACTAGATATGAAATATGGTTACTTCAATATTTCTTAACCAAACTTAATAAGTAACAGCTCAAAAGACGCACATAATAATATACTTTAATAACGTATGCAACTTTAAACAAACAAATTAAAAATATGGACTTACCATCTTATTTTCTGAATGTTAAAATAACAAGAAAAGATGTAATTTCACTTTTTTATATTTCTCTGGGTAGCAATGTATTTACGTAGTATCTTTTGTAGTTATATCTTAAGAGGACGACCTCCTACGTAAAAATTTCACCACAGTGATGTCTTCATCAATTGGAAAAGTACCAAATCAGGATGCGCACAGTTCCTCACACTTTCCCCTAATCTTAACTAACAAATTAAATTCTATCAATTTAAAAAACAAGATACAAGTGGTGCCATCATTGTTACTTAAATCTAATTATATGTATCATTTGTATAAAAGATTTGATATCAACAATTGGCACCAAGTCAAATCCCGTACCAACCAAATAAAGAATATAATCTAAGTGGTATACTTTAACTTTTTGTACAATGAAACATACGACGTGGACGATTCCGTCATCTTTGTAGTTTGTATTTAACTACCCTGGTAGCAAAGCCTGTAGAGACAGATTTTGAGCAGAGCCTGCTATCAATTTTTGATTGCAGAAAGGCAACAAATTGTACATAGAATTTGTACTATCAGACATTGTCAGCAAACTGCTGTTAAAAATATGACAAAGCCTGCTGAAATGTTATGCCAGCAAATTGACAGAAATCGAACAGAGTCTGCTGCATAACCTGACAGCAGATTACGAGCAGATACCGAACAGAGCATGCTGACATAACTTGACGGCAAATTGGCAGCAAAAACCGAGTAAGATCTGTCATTTTCATATACGGCATCGCCATGAGATAGACATGCTTTTCGTAAGAAGAAATCGTCGAGGAGTCCTATAAGAATTGGCGTATGTAAATCGAATAGGCAAATCTCCTAGAGATTCCAAGGCTCTTTCGGAGTGTGTTTTCTGAATCTCCAAATACTTTTTTGACTATTTTATAACTTTCTCATGTGTATTTTTGAAATGTGAAGCTAATAAACAATATTTTAGCAACAAAACTATATTGATTGTTTCCAGTTTTCAAACCAATATATACAGGGTGTCCCGTAATTCACTTGACGACGCTCGTGAGCAGGTAGAGCGGACTAAACTGAGTCGAAAAGTCTTGTACCATTTTGCAATTTTCGCAATAATTAACAAGATATTAATTACTAACAATGGCCGAATATTTTTTTTAGAATTTTTTATCAACTTTTTAGTAGTGTTTTTTTTTATTGGCAACTATTTTTACCAACATGAAAAAATGCGGTATTAAAAAATTCTGAAGAAATTCTCAGAACTTTATGAGAAGCAAATAAACAATTTTTATCTCTTGTTGTTTTTCTGTAAAGTTGATAGTATTTGAGTAAAAAATTACTGAAAACCAATATTTAGCGATTTTTAATAATTAATATCTTGTTAACTATTGCGAAAATTGTAAAATGGTAGAGAACTTTTCGACTCAGTTTAAGTCCATTCTACCGCTATGCGAGAGTTTTATCATTAATTGTCAGACAAAGTATTAAAAAGTTAAATTCCTAACACGCTCATATATGCAAAGCAATAAACAAAACAAATACAAGATCAATAGATTTAAACGAGCATACCGGATGATTAGTTAATTCATTTTATTATTTCGCTTATGAGAAATATAAAGCACGCACGTCATACGTTTCGGATTTAATTTAGCTCTCCTCAACAAAGAATTTTTACATTAGTTAAATATAAATATAAAAGATCTCATCTCACATACAAATAAAAATAGCAAATGTCATATAGTGCTTTTGTACGGTGTCAGTAGGAAGTCAAAATGTACGTTAATGTCCAGATTATTATAAAATTTGTGTTGCAAATTAATTCTTCGGTCCATGGCGAGAACGGATAACGTCAAATTATAAAATCCTTTATGTATGTACCATCAAATTTACAGTAATGCATACGATATCAGAAAACTAGTTATGGTAGGAGATTTAGTCTATCTTTTAATAATATTTCGAATAAAGCTTTATGTAAAATATATATAAAATGTTTATAAAACATTTCAAAAAATGAATAATAATAGGAGAGACGGGGCTAAGCTGGCATTTGAATTTTGAGTGGTAAAAATATATATCTTATGAGTTCCCAATTTATATTGCAGATGACATCTCGTGTGTCTTCTTTACCAACGAAGTTTGGTGCCGCGTTGTTATATATGTTTAGAATATTTAGATAGTCAAACGTGTTTTCGATAGTCAAAAATAATTTTTGAGATTTCATTTTCCGAATCACATCATTTTTTATGTACATACCTGCGCTCTCGTGCTCCACCGGGCTTCGTTATACAAAAACTGCTCTACGAAAACTGCTGTATCTCTTTTCCGAATAACTCTTTAAAACTTGGCATATGAATTCTCGGAACGTAAATCTTTCAAAATATTACAAAATTAAAAAATCGATTTTTTTTTTCAAAATTTTACCCTGTTTATAGCCCTTAAGGGTGTTCTTTTGTCACGAAATGGAAGCTTTTGAGCTTGAGGGGCCCCAATTAGAAAAAATATTTTTTTCTTGTCAGTCTAATATACATATATGTGCGTGCAGGTTTTTATTTGCTCGATAATTTTTAGTAACCATTATAAAAAAAGTTAAAGTTTTACTATTTATTACTATTTATTAAGGTAGGGAAAAAATAAAAAAACCTTGAAAAATCTCGAAAAATATAAGTTTTACGGAAAAGCATTTCGGATAAAAATTGTAGAATTTAGATAGATCTATTTATTAGCCTTATCAATTTGACTATCCATGCCGTCGCTAAAGTCAAGTCAAGGTCACTTTGAATTTTTGAATTGAAACCTTCTATTTTTTATTGCATTATTTTATAGCTTATCTTGAGAACTTTTCAACTGATGGTTAAAACTTTTTAAATGTTATTCAAGACCATGATAACATTTTTCAAAATCAGGACTTTTGAAGGTTGTTCCTTTTATTATCATGTATATATACGTACACTAAAAATGAAAATAGGAAGCACAACCTTCAAAGGACAAACTAATAAGATCAGTAAATAGATCTTTTTAAACGTTACAACTTTTACCTGAAATACAATACTTTTCTGTAAAACTAACATTTTTCAAGATTTTTTAGGGTTTCCGTACTTGTTCTCCACCCTGTATGCATACTGATTGAGTATCTATAAATTAAGACACTGACATTTCTCACTTTACAATTCAATACAGCTGAAAACCACAAGTATATAATATAGAAAACTATATGAATGTATAAAAGAATTATTTAACCCACATCTAAATTGTTCTCAATATCTTGGAAATAAATCGCTGAAATCGCTGAAAATTGTTAAGATCTATATCAGTTGACCTGATTTAATATACAATATTTTAAACAAAATATATAAATTTCAGAGAACTGTAATTTTATATTGGACTCTTGGTGCTGCTTGCAACATTTCCGTGTTATTTGGTCTTTACAAACGACAAATATCCGTTCTGCTTAGTGCTATCTATGTCGCATTAAATAGAACAGTTTGGGCCATAGGCATAGCATGGATTGTAATAATGTGTTATACTGAGCATGGAGGTTAGATGATTTAATAATAGTGTTAAATAGATAAAGAATAATCATAATATTCGGACTCAAGATCTTTTTAAAAATAAAAATTTCCAGAAAGGAAAAGCTATCAGTCGAAGTTAGTTGTTACGTGCTAATGATTAATCTAACTTTAATATATATATATATATATTTATCAGTAGATATAAATATTAAATCATACAAACGTTTCAACCTTCATCAGGTCATCCTCAGTGTAAAACAATAATAATTAAACTAATTGAAAATAAAAATAAAAATAAGTATAAAAGGGTCGCAACATAAATCGGTTACATAATGAATAATTTAAATATAAAACGTTTATGATGTCATTAATATTAAAAGTATTTGTAAATTCGTATTCTCTTTCGATGGCAGGATTAAAAATATATCCAAGGAGGTTGCATGATTAAAATTAAAGATAGACTGATTATTACTTGTTTTAAAAATAGACGTTACATTTATCTATATAACTTCAGCATTGTAAATTTTCCAGCATAAATTGTCGACGGTAATAGAACTTATCTCCCACTACAATCATTTGGAAAAATATGTAACAAAAATTCATTATCGTATGAACTTGCCGTAATAAATCGAGGCCGATTTTTGCAGTAAACTTTATAGGGAGTAGCGCACTTGCACACAGTTCAATTGCACACGCTATTCACATCGGCCTGTTCCTAGTAATTTTGACCTTCACCAATAAGATTGTATTATTTTAAATTAGCCAATTAGTGATGTGGGCAATTGATATATTGTATACCCTACTTTATATACATACAGTCTACAAGTTTCTCAGTCCACACAATTGCAGTAGGTTCACAATTTTCCTCAGTGATACATTCTTTTTAAATTATTGTCTGATAAATTAGTTATCTCAAACGTAATGCGTCATTGTTAATTTGCACTACGTTTGAGATAACTGACGAAAATAAGATAATAGATTGAGAAACTTGTAGACCGTATAGGGTAACTCTGGCAAATATACGCCGCAGAAGTCAGAAAAAATAGAAGGAGTGGGAATAATTTTCTTGCAACTACTATGTTACATGCTTTTATGTTATATAAGTATTGTGTTTCAGCTTCTTACTGTTAATATTAATGAAATTATTGTGAGTTGAATCGATTTGCGACTGTAATAAGTAGCGCCATCATAAATTATAATCTACATAAAATGATTACTGTAGGGCGTGTAAAAGACTTATGCCCATTTCTACCAATGTAGTTTAACCTTAATTCAACTTACTCTTCATCTTTTTCTAGTTTCAAGAATAAGAAAAAGGTGAAGAGTAAGTTGAACCGAGATTAAATTTAATCTACATTGGTAGAAACGAGCATTAGTTGTTATTTCGTGATACATACATGTAGAGGAATAATAAAGCATATTGTATAACAAGATACAAGTGCTTTGCTTTCGTATTCTTTGTTTAGTTTGTTTTCTTGTATATCCCACCTGTTTGGGATACACGGCATTTTTAACGGTCGGGATGCCCGCAAAGCATACAAAGTGCGCAGATTGAATTCAGTGCATTAAATGCATTACAGGAAATATGTACCATATGTCATAATATTTGTGATATACATATATGTAGGAAGATTGTAATTATTATCTATTACTTCATATACAGTACTGGACAAAATAAAGTACGCACTCCAAACATTTTCACATTTATGTAAATAACTCGCCAGTCCTGGTAGATAGCATAATGATGAATGAGATAAAAGAAAGATATTTTAGTCTACTTTGCAATAATGATTACAAAAATTTCAAAAACAATTCGAAATCCTTTAATAATCAAGTCCGATTTATTATCAAATTTATCATGGACAAAATAAAGTACGCACAACATTGTTTATGAAAATAATAACAACTGGCGTTGTTGATGATGAAAGATACATAAATATAACAATGAAGGATATATAAACAAATGAATAAAGCAGGTTTGTCAGTTAATAATATTGCTAGATAGAGTATAGTAAGAATTCTTCATCAGTGAACATGGAAACCAAGCAAATTTGTTTGCAAATTCGAAAACTGATAATTCAGGATTGTCAGAAGAGGCTTTCTAATAGAAAAATTGGTCGCAAGTACAATGTAAGTGAAGGCGCAGTCCGAAAGATATGGAAAAAATTCCAGGAGCTTGACACAGCGGATAAGACAAGACGTGGACGGAAGAAAAAGACAAATCCAATCGAATCATACTGGAAGTAAAGAAAAATTCAACTGTTACTAATCGTGTTATTCGAGAAAACCTACAATTAAATATTTCCGAACGAACGGTACGGAGGAGACTTCGAGAAGTTGGACTTAGAAACAGTTTTGCAGTGCGTCGTCCTTTGATTCGGAAGGCCAATAAAATCAAACGTCTGGAATTTGCAGAAAAATACGTTAACAAGTCAGTGGATTTCTGAAAAAAGGTCCTTTGGAGTGACGAAAGCAAATTTGAACTTTTCGGTCATAAACAGCGACCACGAGTCTGGTCAAAGCCTAGCGAAAAACTTATCGATAAAAATATCCAAAAAAACACTCAAACATGGAGGAGGCAGCATAACAGTGTGGGGATGTTTTGCGTGGTCTGGTTTGGGAAATCTAGTCAAAATCGACGGTATAATGACAGCAGATGTATACATTGATATTCTCAATGAAAATTTAGAAGAGTCTCTGCTAAAGGTTGGTCTCGAGAACAACTTCATTTTTCAACAAGATAACGATCCCAAACATACCGCTCGTAAAACTACCGCTTTTTTTCGTACTTCTAGGATCAAACTGCTCGATTGGCCAACGCAATCGCCAGATCTGAATCCGATTGAAAATTTGTGGTCGATTTTGGACCTGAAGCTTGATAAAGGGGAAGTAACGAATAAAATTAAGTTGTTGGAAGCATTGATGAAAGCATGGAAAAATATCGATCAGCAACACATCCAAAATCTTGTCGAAAGTATGCCTCGACGTTTGCAAGCCGTCATACGAGCAAAAGGTGGTCATACAAAATATTAACTATAAACTTTGTCTTTATTACACTTTTTTTTTCACTTGCGTACTTTATTTTGTCCATGATAAATTTGATAATAAATGTAACGGACTTGACTATTAAAGGATTTCGAATAGTTTTTGAAATTTTTGTAATCATTATTGCAAAGAGTAGATTAAAATACCTTTCTTTTATCTCATTCATCATTATGCTATCTGCCAGGACTGGCGAGTTATTTACATAAATGTGAAAATGTTTGGAGTACGTACTTTATTTTGTCCAGTACTGTACATATTTATCATTTTTATTCCTTAATTAAACACTATAAACGCATTTTATAAGTTATTATGTTATTTTACGTCTTATTTATATGCATTATTTGTAAATTTTTCATGAGCCGTACATACCCTTCCTTCGCCTATAGGTAGCCGTATATCCCACCCCTATGGAATATACGGCAAAAATGCATGAACATTTTTCAAAAAGTTCATTTTGTAACACGAAAAATAAGTATATTTCGGATTTCTAATATTTTTTTCATAGTAGTAGACAGTACAAAGTTTTTACTGATATAATTCGTTTATTTTAAACATAGTAAATAATACTTAATAAATTAAGTTTTTGATAAGTACGGCGTATACCTCTATAGGGTAACTCCGGCAAATACGCTGCGCTGGGATTTACGTCGCAGAAGTCAGAAAAAATAGAAGAAGTGGGGGTAATTTTCCCGTAACTACTCTATTACATGTCTTTATGTTATATTAGTATTGTGTTATGACTTCAGCTTCTTACTGTTAATATTAATGAATTTATTGTGAGTTAAATCGATTTGTCACTGTAATAAGTAACGCCATCATAAGTTATAATCTACATAAAATGATTAATGTAG